CTGCGGTCGGCGGCCACGCGATGAGGCTGCGCTCGACTTGCAGCGCCGCTGCACCCCCGCCACCCCCCTGCCCACAGAGAGGATCGGATCGAATCGGAACGTGCGTCGGATGGGACCGCATCGGCACAGAGTCGGTACCGAATCGCGTCGGCCGCACCAGGATGCTCACGAGCGCCCGTGCCAACATCAAGCCGCATTGGATCGACAGAAGATCGGAATCGGATCGCGTCGGTCATTAAATCGGCTCGATGAGATCGAAACGGTCCCTGCGCCACCGCCCCCCTGCCCCCCCCCGAGTAGGAGCAAGGACGGGCGACACCACTCCCACCCTCCGCAAGAAGCACCCACTCGCCACCACGGTGCGAGGCCATGACCTCTCTGGGGCCCTGGCATGGTGCATACGCCCTCTCGGCCGAACATATATATATATATATATAGATATATATGCAACATGTTCGACATCAAGCCGTGAAGCAAGGAAGCCGTCCAGTTGTGTGTCCAATCCTGGCCAACTAGACCAAATCATGGCCACGCGGGCCCGATCCCTTCGGCAACCCTTCAACTTGACCAAATCCTGGCCGCCTCTAGACATGGACACAGGCTGAGACGACTCCGGGGTCGATCAGTCAACATCTGAGGGCACACCTTGGGCGTCGTGAGCGCTGTGAGCGGGATTCGGACATCAGACATCGGACGTCGGCCTGCATCATGCACCGAGAGGGTGCCGCAGGGTGGGGCCGAAGCGCCGAACATATTCTAACAACAGTGAAACAAGTACAGCCACAATGAGACAATGTACTCCTCATCGCAATGTGATAAAATGCATGACGAGGATGACTCACATACATGACCAGTGTAAGAAGTGATCGCCGAACGCTCAACGGACGATGTCGCGAAATTGGACAGAACCGGAATCGGGAACGAAATCGTGCGGCTAGGAGCCGGGGTCGGGGAGATAGATGCCGGAGTCATGTGGCTCAGCATGCTGGAGTCGGGTGGTGAGGAGCGAGAATCGGATCGAGAACTGGGAACCGGAATCGGAGAAGAGGAAGCGGGAGTCGGAGAGGGGTAATTAGCTGGAGTCGAGAAGACGGGGCTGCCAGAGTCGTGTGGTTGGGAGCCGGGGTCGAAATGGATGCCGGAGTCGTGCGGTTAAGAACGGGAGTCGAAGAGATGAACACGGGAACTAGAGTCGGAAAAAGCAGACGGAGACACCAATCTGGTCAACGGAGTTGGAAATATGGGACCCAGTGTTGGAAAATTGGGGAGCAGGAGTCGGGGACATGGGAGCAGGAGTGGGACAACAAGTAGTCGGAGTCGGAGAGGTGGGAGTTGGGGTCGGTGTGGTGGGATCTGGAATGGGAAACTTGGAACCCAAGGCCAGAGAGAGACGGAAAGCTGGGAGCTAGAGTCGGAAAATTGGGAGCCGAGGTTGGTGAGAAGGGCCCTCCATAGTGTAATCGTTCGATCCGTTGTTGCCGCCGTGCCCAACGCAATTGCATGCATACGTTACGGAGTATTCGGCAAATCCGTCTCCCAAATTGCGCCACGCATCTGTACCGGCCATCTTGAGGAGGGTGTGCCACACGCCGTGTGGGCCTGCCGCTTCCTGCAGCAATGCCTGATTAGATTCGCCCCACATAGCAATGGTAACGCGGGATGACGATTAGTAAGAAAAATGAAGAAGAACGATTAAAAACATAGTTTTCTGCTATTTCTGCGCAATTTTCGGACTGGAGGAGAACGATTAAAAACATAGGTTTCCAGCCCGCGGTCGGTTTTTTCTAATCGTCATCCCGGGCGCCGCCGCGTGAACACGACCCCCGGTCATTTATTAATCGTCACCCTCCATTATCTATGGTAACTTGAATGAAATGGAACATCTCATCCAATCATCTCCATCTCGGTCTGCGGCTGCGCCGCCTAGCGTTCAATCGTGGATGTTCGGATGGACCCCACCATGAGACCCGAATATCCAATCTGAAGGCTGCGCCCGGCGACTTTTTGAAACCATCTCGATTCTCGACGCCGTTACATCCGCACCCGATCTTCCATGTGCAAGTCGTGTAGATGCTGGTCTGCTTCCCGGGTGCACCGTCTGATCCACTCCGCCGAATGGTGGGATTGGAGCACGTTGGCCGGGACTGGACTCCTTTTGGGGGGAGGCCCTGGGCCTAGGGCCCTGGAAGCCCCTCGCTCGACTACGTGCCAGAGTAGCCCCTGGTGCGCGGCTTCAGGGGTTCGCGGGGAAGCCAAATCCAAACGCGTGATCCATCGCCAGGGAGACCCTTGTGTCGAAGGCGACGTTAAGGGCGAATAGCCCACGGGCGGGCAATATACGTATCGCTCTGGGAGCCTCGCCGAAGACATGAATCATCGGCGCCCTTGGAGCATAGGGTTGCCCGAGGCCAAGTAGGAGCAACATGTAAGCGGCGATCTGCACCACAGCGCCTGTGTACACAACAGAGCTCGCCTGCACCACAGTGCGCGTGCAGCGCCTGTGTACACCGCAACAGCCGCGTGCACCGCAGCAACCATGTGCAACACAGCGCCTGTGTACACCACGATGCTTGCGTGCACCGCAGCGCCTGTGCACACCGCAACGCCTGTGTACACCACCGAGCTCGCGTGCACCACAACGCGCGTGTACACCACAGCGCCTGTGTACACCGCAACAGCCGTGTGCACCGCAGCAAGCATGTGCAACACAGCGCCTGTGTACACCACGATGCTTGCGTGTACCGCAGCGCCTTTGCACACCGCAGCGCCTGTGTACACCACAGAGCTCGCGTGCACCACAGCGCGCGTGTACACCACAGCGCCTGTGTACACCGCAACAGCCGTATGCACGGCAACAACCATGTGCAACACAGCGCCTGTGTACACCACGATGCTTGCGTGCACCGCAACGCCTTTGCACACCACCTCGCCGGTGTTCACCACAGCACCCGCGTGCAACGCAATGCTGGTGTACACCACAGTGCCTGCGTGCTCAGGACAGGTTGAAGGAGCATGTCGGTGATGATCTGCTGCGGAGAGCTAAACACTACGCAGGGGAGGTGCTCATAATAGAATGCGTTCTTCCCTCCTCCCTTTTCTCCTTTTCTCCTCCTCCTCTTCCTCCTCCTCCTCCTCCTCCTCCTCCTCCTCCTCCTCCTCCTCCTCCCTCTCCCTTCCCCCCGTGGCGCGGGTCGGCGCTACAGCGCACGTGCGCATCTCACTGTGCACCGCAGAATGGTCTGTTGAATCAGTCCACTCGGTTCTCGGACGGTCAATTCTACTGGAGCCTTCTGGACGCAGACGGGACACGTTAGGATGATGCGGAAGGACCCGGGAGGACTCGTAGATTCCAGCGGCACTCCTTTTTCCATAAGGATTCCTGTCCAACTCCTGTACATTATGCTAACGGGTTTCCCCGCAAAAGGATGCTGAGGGCTTCGTGGGATCAGCGAGGCAAAATAATGGCAATATGAATGGAAGGGCCTTCGCGAAAGAAACGGCAGACGAAGACAAGGAGGGGCAGCAGCAGGGAGGAAGACGACGGCTGTTCAGAAAACACGTTCGTCCCTGGAGGAGTGGGAGGGGCACGAAGCCTGACAAATAACTAGTCTTCGGATACCCTCCTCTCCCAGGCGGGGCCGCCCTGGAGGAGTGGGGGGGCACGAAACCTGATACATACCATGGTGTTCGAATGCCCTCCTCGCTCAGACGGGGCCTCCCGGATGGGGCACGACACCTGATACCTAGTATGGTGTTCTAATACCCTCCTCGCTCAGGCGGGGCCTCCCAGGAGGAGTGGGAGGGGCACGGAAACTGATACCTAGTATGGTGTTCTAATACCCTCCTCGCTCAGGCGGGGCCTCCCAGGAGGAGTGGGAGGGGCACGGAAACTGATAAATAGTATGGTGTTCGAATACCCTCCTCGCTCGGGCGGGGCCTCCCTGGAGGAGTGGGAGGGGCACGACAACTGATACATAGCATTGTCTTCGAATACCCTCCTCGCTCAGGCGGGGCCTCCAGAAACTGGGAGGGGCACGAAACCTGATACACAACATTGTTTTCGAATACCCTCCTCGCCCAGGCGGGGCCTCCGTGGAGGAGTGGGAGGGGCATGAAACCTGATACATACCATGCTGTTCTAATACCCTCCTCGCTCAGGCGGGGCCTCCCTGGAGGAGTGGGAGGGGCACGACACCTGATAAACAACATAGTTTTCGAAGACCCTCCTCGCTCAGGCGGGGCCTCCTTGGAGGAGTGTGGGGGGGGGGCACGACCCCTGACACATAGTATGGTGTTCTAATACCCTCCTCGCTCAGGCGGGGCCTCACAGGAGGAGTGGGAGGGGCACGACACTTGAAAATTATCAGGGCGAAAGACGAAACTTGAAAATTATCCGGGCGAAAGACCCAACCATGTGCAGTTGTGTGTGACGCGTTGTGGGTGCCGCTTTCGGTGGGGCTCCCTATGGAGCCACGAAGCCCGTGAGGGACGTGCCGAAATGGGTGGAAGAGACGCATGCGGGCGGTGCCACTGGGGCCTCCGGTGAGGCTCCCTATGGGGCCACGAAGCGCTGTTTTGGGTGTGGCGGACGCATGTGGCCACCCCCACTGGGGCCTTGCGTGGAACTCCCTATGGGGCCACGAAGTGCCGTACTGGGGGTGGCGGACGCATGTGGCCACCCTGAAGTGGAGCTCCCTATGGGGCCACGAAGCGCTTTACTGGGTGTGGCGGACGCATGTGGCCACCCCCAGTGGGGCCTTGCGTGGAGCTCCCTATGGGGCCACGAAGCGCTATACTGGGTGTGGCGGACGCATGTGGCCACCCCCAGTGGGGCCTTGCGTGGAGCTCCCTATGGGGCCACGAAGCGCTGTTTTGGGTGTGACGGACGCATGTGGCCACCCCCACTGGGGCCTTGCGTGGAGCTCCCTGTGGGGCCACGAAACGCTGTACTGGGTGTGGCGGACGCATGTGGCCACCCCCACTGGGGCCTGAAGTGGAGG